AAATAAAGAAAGAAAGAAAGAAAAGAAAAAAGAAAGAAAAGAAAATGATTAAAAGAAAGAAAAAAAAAGGTAAACGTGGTTTGATTAAAGTAGGTAAGAAAAAAATGAAAAATGAACAAAAATGATTAAGAGGAAAGAAAGAAAGAAAGAAAAAGAAAGAAAATGATTAAAAGCTTTAGAGAGTAGGTAAAGAAAAAGAAAGAAAAATGATTAAAAGAAAGAAAGAAAAGAAAAGAAAAAGAAAGAAAAATAAAGAAAGAAGAGAAGAAGAAAGAATGTAAGAAGGATCAAAAAAGTAGAAGAGAAGAATGAAAAGAAAAAAAAAAGAAAGAAACGAAAGAAAGATAAGAAAAGAAAAAGAAAAAGAAAGAAAGAAAAAAGGGTGAGGCCGAGAAGCAGGTAAGAAAAAGAAAAGAAAATGAAAACAGAAAGAAAAAGAAAAGAAAAAGAAAAAAAGAAAGAAAAATGATTAAAAGAGGAAGAAGAAGGAAAGAAAAGAAAAGAAAATGAACAGAAAGAGGAAGAGAAGAAGGAAAGAAAAAAAAAGAAAATGATTAAAAGAAGAAAAGATGTAGGTAAGAAAAGAAAAGAAAATAAAAGAGAGAAAGAAGAAGAAGGAGAAAAAAGAAAAAGAAACGTAAAAGAAAAAAAGAGGAAAAGAAAGAAAGAAAAATATAAAAGTGGCTTATGATTAAAGAAAAGAAAATGCTAATAAAAAAGGAAAGAAAGGATGCAGAAAGAAAAAGATCTAGAAGGAAAAGAAAAAAGAAAGAAAAGTTCAGAAAAGACAAGAGAAGAATTTAAAGATGAAAGAACAAAAAGAGAGAAGAACGAAAAGAATGAAGTGATAGAAAAAAAAAAAATTAAAGACAGAAAGAAGGAAATATATGGCAAAGAAAAGAAGAAACATCAAAAAAAGGGGAATAAAGGAAAGAAAAGACAGAAAGAAAATATAGCAAAGAGAAAATGAAATGGGAAGAAAGATAAAGAGAAGAAAAAGCAAAAAAAAAAGAAAAAAGGGAAAAAAATGATTAAAAAACATGGCGATTACTAAACAAGCGAGAAAACATGGAAACGAAGAAAATGAAAGAAAATTTATGACAACGTTACATTAGACAAGGTAGGTAAGTCAAAATAAAGAAAATAATCACAAAAGAAAAAAAGAAAGACAGAAAGAAAGACAAAATATTTAAGGAATATAAAAAGAAGAAAAAAATGAATGAAAGAAAGGAAGCAAAAAAAGGAAAAAAGAAAAAGGAGAAAAATGTTGGCAAAGAAAGAGGTAGGATAAAAGAAAGTATGGGAGGGAATGAGAGAACGTTGAGAGAGTGTTTGATAATGAAGAAATAGAAAAGTAAAGAGACAAGAAACACGTCACATAAATGTCTAAAACAACAAAAAAAAAAAAAAAAGAGAAAAAGAAAGAAAGATAATGGTTCAAGATATATGAAGTTATGAAAATACCGAGAAAGAAAAATGAAGGGAAGAAAACAATGAAAAGAATCTAGAGACAGAAAGGAAGAGAAAGAAAACAGAAAGCAGTGTCAGACATTTGTACGTTTGAAGAAAGGTGAAAATGATTGAATGAAAAAAAAAAAAAGAAACCTGAAGATTGTAAATCTGCGAAAAAAGAATGGAAAAATATGGGTGTATATGTGTTTGAAATATATAAACTGGGCGAGAAAGAAAAATACAGAAGAAAACTGTATAAATAATCGAATGAGAAGTAAGAAAAGTGAATGAAAGAATAAATGAAATAATATATATGAAGCATATGAAGAGGGCGTATAGAAAAGAAAGAAGAGAGAGAAACAGGAATGTTAACAAAGGAGGGGGGAACGAAAAAATTAAAAGAAAGTGAAAAAGAGAAAAGAAAATGAGAACGAAGGAATGAAGAAAGATACCAACAGAAATAAAGATTATAAAAGTAAGCAAAATGGAGGAAAATATTAAATAGAAGGAATGAATGAATAAGAAAGAAAAAAAGAAAGAAAAAAGAAAGAAGACGAAAGGAAGAAAAAAAGAAAGAAAAAAGAAAGGAAAAAGAAAGAAAAAAGAAAGAAGACGAAAGGAAGAAAAGAAAGAAAAATAAAGGGAGTAAGAAAAAAGAAAGAAAGTAAGAAAAAGAAAGATAAAATAAAGAAAGAAAAAAGGACGAAAAAAGAAAGAAAAAGAAAAGAAAAACTGGGAGAGAAAAAGAAAGAAAGAAAGAACAAAGAAGAAAGAATTAAAAAGAGAAAAAGAAAGAAAAAGAAAATGACTGAAGAAAGAATGAAAGAAAAAAAGAAAGAAAAATAAAAAGTAAGAAAGAAAAAAGATAGAAAGAAAGAAAAAAGAAAGAAAAAAGAAAGAAAAAGGAAAGAAAAAAGAAAGAATACATAAAATGAAGTAAATCAAAAAGAACGAATTGTGAATGAAAAAAAGAATAACGCAAGAAAATCGAAAAAGTTAAGAGAATGAAGTCGAAATAAAAGCTAAAAATGTGATAGAGGAAAAGAGA